ACCCACACCCATGCACAGGAAGACAGAGCATACACACACGGTTCAGCCATACCCACTCCCTCCCTCCTTCACATCATCCACCACAAGGGTCTGTTAACTTCCCCCCTCCCCCCTAAAAATAATGACAAAAAGTGACAAAATCAAATAGCATAAACGCAATAATTAAAATGAATAAAAACTGATGCACACAATATCGAGCCAAGTTAAAGACCAACGTAACTGTTGCAATTCGACATCATGGGGCCCATTTCCCTGGCCACCATTTCGTGCCTCCCAAAATTGAGACACATGAATTTGTCACTCTACATTCTCAAACACCAGCGGTAGACGCAACACCTATAGCACGTTGAAAAACACAATGACGACAAAGAGAATGCACCATCCAGTCACAAGGAGGGCAACACGTCCGCCGTGCTTTTGCGTATGCTTAAAGGGCGTCGTGAGGCAGCCACCAACCAACTGGTTGTACGCATGGGCCATAAGTACCCAAACGACCATAACCGTCACAATGCCAAGCACCGACCACATCGTTGCGAAGACCTCGGGGTGTTCGCAGCAGCAGCACGTCACCAGGCCAAAAATAACGGCGGTAAGCAGCACAAGAATAGAAATGATAACAAACGCCTCTGCAGCTCTAAGGTACCTCACAAGTGTGGGGCAGACCACGAAGATATCTTTGGGCGAAGCTAATACTTTGTGCCGTGGCATTTCAGTTCCTCTCCCCACAAGATCAAAACACGGCGTGTTTTTTTTTGTGAGTTTCTGATCCTTCACACGAAATTGTTAATCGACGTCCCGACCCGCACGAGCAGAACGAAGATGAGGGTGAGCACATCGTAGCTAGTCACACCAGCTTTGCCCATTGCTTCTTACGTCACAAGTAAGATTGAGAGGAAGAGAAGAAAAGTTGTTGGGTGAGAGCAGTGTTCGTGGGGCGCCCATGCGACAGTTACTTTCACCAGCACCAGGATCCAGCGACACAGTGAGACGCTGCTTGGTTCGCACACATGATCAGTTCAGTTACTGCCAACAGCGAGCTGCTGTGTGAAACACCTTTTGCTG